TTCAAAAGGAGATATTTTATTTAACAGAAATCACTTTTCAAAAACTACAACGAATGACTCGTTTGGACTACAACGCATATTTTCCGGGATTTGTGATATCACAAATATCGACGAATGGGACGAGACCTGGTTGAGCTGCACTAGAGAAGGCAACGAGTGTTATCAGTATGTCGGAGACAAGCTAGCTTTCCCAAGGCAGACAAACTTAGAGTGCTTACAATCATCCGGGTTTAAATTGCGCTCAAATTGATTTGATTTTGATGCAATATTTACACTGAAGCTCGCAGGCGGCTATGGCAAGGGGCATGACATTTCCCGACCAGGCGCCAAGTGCTGCCAATCACAACACACACTGATCCAGCTAACCAATCACAGCACACACTGGCCCGGCTAACCAATCACAGCACACACTGGCCCGGCTAACCAATCACCGCACACACTGGTCCAGCTAACCAATCACCGCACACACTGGTCCAGCTAACCAATCACAGCACACACTGGTCCAGCTAACCAATCACAGCACATTTCGTATTTCAGAAGATTCAGGAGCTATTCGAGCGGTTCATGCCAGACTGAGGAGAGAGGTGTTGTAATAATGTAAAATATGTGACCTAGTATGAGAGCCTGTTCTAGTACACCCCCAAAACAAAATCAAGACTTTGTAAAAGAGCATAATAGGACCCCTTTTAAATAGCAAATGACAGAATACAATTTTTTTTTTTAAACTTCTAAATATTTCCAGAAATTCCAAGGACAAATGAAAACATGCCACTACTGCAATATAAAAGCAATGCATGACAAAATATTTTCAAAACAATTTAAAATGTACTTGTGTACATTTAAAAGTGTACTTAATTGTTAAGAAACATAGTCATACCTTTAATTGAATTATTAATATACGCAAGCAGTTTTTTTTTTTAATACTCTTTTAAGCGCGCAAGTGTACATTCAATCCAATTAAGCATGCTTTTTCAAAACCATTTAATTTTAATATTAGTGTTTTAGTATTTTAATATTAATATTTTATTAGATGCATACCTTATAACATCCAGTGACACATCCGTATAGTAGAGTTTACTCTCCACGCTGTCATAGTCCAAGGAAATCACATTATGCAACTCAGGCACAGGCACGTACACGTCTGTGTGTTCATTAGTGTCTAGAGAGATTCTTCGAACACTGACACGATTTGAAAAGAGCAGGTATGTTTCAGGCAAATTGTCACATGATCTCCCATCACTTTTCAGCAGAATACCGGTGGGACACGCACAAGACGTCACATTATGCCGAGGCAGACACAGGTGAGAGCAGCCACCGTTTCTCCTGCCACATTTATTGAAGCCTGCAGGGAGAGGATGGACGATTATGCCAGAAAGTTACATCATTTTTGTATTATTATATGCCAAGCTCTGCTAAGCTTTTGAATTCACACGATTATTCGCCAATTACCTACTATTTAAGTACTTTAAGAACATTGCTATAATTGTTTGCTGGAAAATAGATACAAATGTTCATGAAGACTAAGTGGTTAATGGTTACCTGACATTAAGCAGACACTTTCTGTAACAAAAGCGAGTGTACTGCACACCTGTGAAGTTTTAGCAATATTCATATACTATTATATTTATTATGGAAGCTTGCTTCTGTCAGAGGATAAAAAAAAATAAAAAGGGTAAACGCAACTTTTTTCTTGCAATTCTGAGTCTATATCTCACAATTTGATTTGTGAATTCTGGAAAAAATAAGCCTTATTTATTTATCCTGTGGCAGAAACCAGCTTCCATTATTTATAAACATTTTCCATTAGCTTTTATTTTTATATTTTGTTTATTTTATTTGTTATGTGCTTTGGTCATTTTGATTAGTCTTTATTATTACTATTTAGATTTAATTTATATTAATTTCTATTTTAGTTTCAGTAATTTTAGTACTTCAACTTAAAATGATTTTATTTCATTTAGTTTGAAATAAAATGTCATATTTTAGTTCATTAGCAACATTTCTAATTTTCAAGTTTTAAGTTTTTCATCCAATATTTATATTTTATTTGATTTCAGCTTTATTTGAATTAACATTTAACAATTTTAAAATATTTTTAATGTACACTAACAACACTGGTTACAAAACAAATACATTTTGGTCTAAAAACAGGAACTTAATCTACTGTTCTTCTGAAACATGAGGCCAATCAATGCACTATTTAGCAATTAAGAATTAAAAATGCTTATTTGGAGAATGAAAATATTAAATAAACAATAATGATAGTAAAAACATGTACTTTATAACCTACCCAAAGGTCTTGCCCGGTCAACAGCCTGGATGTCCATGAGGCCAGGCAAGTTGGAGCGGACGGTGATGGTGTTTGTTCCAGTGTCCTTGTCTGCTCTATGAATACTGCGGCTCTGCCAGTCCGTCCAGTACATGTGCGGCCCCAGCAGAGTGAGACCGTACGGGTGCTGGACAGGAGAAACCAGGGTCCTCCGGTTTGAACCATTAAGATCAGAAGCTTCTATCCGCTAATGGAAAACCAGATTACTTGATTTAATTCAACCAGGATGCATTTATATAGGTTATCTTATTCCTCAGTAGGAAACTTAAATAAGGTGTTACACTAAAAGTATATCTATCTATCTATCTATCTATCCATCCATCCATCCATCCATCCATCATCCATCCACCCATCTATCTATATATCTATCATCCATCCATCCATCAGTCTGTTATATTGTTATAAAGATCTCTTAAAATCTTTAAAGGGTTAAAATTAGTGCTGTCAATCGATTAAAAAAACCCCCCAAAAAAAACATTTTTTTCGGAAATCAACTGCAATTAAAATATCAATGACTGGATGGAATCAGAGTCTGTGCACATAATACACTAAGCAGTTTTGAGAAATCGGTCAACTCCGGCTACAGAAAATCAGAGCCAGTCTGCAGATACTGTTCAGCCAGCATCGTTTCACCCAAAAGTTGTGTAGTGTATTTCAGCCTTAAAACACTCTCAGGTCACACTAACCTCAGTATGTGCATCGGCCCACAGCAGCTGTGATCCAGCTCTGTCCACGGCCAGTCCATTAGGCCAGCCCAGATTGTTATTTATCAGAACCACGCGATCTGAACCATCCATACTGGAGCGCTCCAGCTTGGCATGCTCACCCCAGTCTGTCCAGTACATGTACCTAAAGACAGATTTGTATCTTATTAATCATCACATACTGTACCTGTGCACAGCTGCAAGAAGCCTTGCAAGTTATGAAAACCATTAGCTATAATTGTTTTTTTTGCAACTGACTCCTGGACCTTGTATGAAAATTAAAGTATGAAAATTAAATCTGTCTATTAGCATGGACGACATCTATATGCTAGTGTAATTATAAAGTTAGACAAAATTTGCTGCATTTACAGTCTCTCCGTCTTCTTAGCCAAAAAAGGATTAAACTGTCCAATCAAATGCAATAAAGAATCAGAATATTAATAAAGTTATTATAAATTCCACCTGCCTCTGAAGTCCACACTCATTCATTCGCTCATTCAGTCCTACATTTGTGAAAAATCACTGCACTTATTTGTATTAAATGTGCACTAAATTCCTAAAACATTGTACTTGCAGATAATATATTAATGAAATAAGTGACTTAAAGAGACACTTTCTTGACTGTTTCTTAACACACTTAAGTACACTTTTAAAAAGTGCACTTTATAATAGCAAATTAAAAGTTTTACTAGTACATGTTTGTCATGCTTTAAAGAAGTACACTTATTTTGATGTGTTGACTAACATACTAAAGCACATGCAAAGTGCTTGATTTTAACTGTAGTGCATTCGTAGTATATTACAATTACAAGTGAAATTGCAAAAATGTGTAATTAGAAATATATTTAAATACATGACACAAGTTTCGATAAAAATTGCATTAGTATATTTTAGTTTAACATAAATGTACATTAAATGTACATCAGTACATTAAACAGTACTTTAACCACATTTCAAAAACGATCAAAGTAATTACGTAATTACATATACAGTGCCCTCCATAAGTATTGGAATGGAAAAGACAAAATTGCTCTGCTTGCTGTGGAGTAAAGACATTTGCAAATATGATTAAAAGATTAATATGAGACAAAACTACAGAATGTCACATTTTATTATTAGCGGTTTCAACACATACATGTTTTACCAAATAAAAAGGACAGCACTTTAAGAGTTCATCCCACTATTTGATGTGAGCATAAGTATTGGGACAGTTGAACTTAAGGCAGATGTAAAAGATTAAAAGCTATTATTTAGTTGCAGATCTCTTGTGTGCAATCAGAGTAGTGAGTCTGCGACACACAGACATCACCAGACTCTTGGTCTCATCCTTTGAAATGCTTTTCCAAGCCTTTAATACAGCCAATACCAACTGTTGCTAGTTTTGGGCAGTTTCCTCCTTTAGTCTTCTCTTCATCTGGTGAAATTCATGTTCAGTCGGATTTAAATCTGGAGATTGATTTGAGCAGTCTAAGACTTTACATTTCTTTGCCCTGATAAACTCCTTGACTGAACTGGCAGGGTGTTTTGGGTCATTGTCCTGATGCAATATGAAGTGCTTTCTGATGAGACTGGTTGCATTTTCTTGAACATTGGTAGCCAAGATGTTTCTGTACACTACTGCATTCATTCTGCTACTGTCATCATACATTAAGTTATCATTAAAATTGAGAGGGCCTGTTCCAGAGAGCCATGCATGGCCATGCCATGACACCACCTCCACCGTGCTTTACAGATGAGGCTGTATGCTTAGGATCATTTGCAGTTCCCTTTTTTCTCCACACTTTTGCTTTCCCATCACTTAGATAAAGGTTAATCTTTGTCTCATCGGTCCATAAAACTCTGTTCCAAATCTCTACTGGCTACATTTGTGCTTTTATGCAAACTTGCTGATCAGAGGTTTGCATCTTGCCGTGTAGCCTCTGTAATTCTGTGTGAAAGTCTCCTGCGGACAGTAAATTATCAGAGCATCACCCCAGATTTCTGGAGGTTGTTGGTGATTTTACAGACATGTACTTTTAGGGTTTATTTTCATAGCTTTTATGATTTGTCTTTCATCAACTACTGTTGTTTTTCTCAGCCGATCAGGTCGTTGTTGTTTGCTGATGTCGCTGGTGGTTTCCAAGCTCTTGATTTCTTCATGCCCTTTGTTTTTGCAATAGCTCTAATTGACTTCCTCTTTTCTTTAAGCATCCAAATTGCTTGCTTTTCTCTCGAAGTCAGCTCCCTCGTCTTCACCCTGGTTTGTGTGTGTCGTCATTGAATGCAAGACTTAGAATGCAGAAGCAATGGATATAACTAATACAACACATTCCCTGCTTTTAATACCTAAACAATTAATGCAACAGGACACCGCTGATCACTTAAGAGAGATCTGTGAGGCAACTGTCCCAATACTTGTGCTCACATCAGATAGGGGGATGAAACTCTAAAAGTGTTGATCTTGTTAGTTGGTAAAACATGTATGTGTTGAAACACCCAATAATAAAATGTGACAATTTGTAGTTGTGTCTCATATTCATCTTTTAGACATATTCACAGATTTATTGACTCCACAGCAAACAGAGCAATTTTTTCTTTACTGTTCCAATACTTATGGAGGGCACTGTATATATGTGCTTAAGTGGGTCAAAAGCACTCTAGAGTTCAGCTAAATGTATTTAATATTAGGGATGCATAATATTATCGGACAAATATCGGAATCGACCGATAATGGCTTTAAATGTAAATATCGGCATCGGCCCGATATTACAAATTATGCCGATACGTCTTGCCGATAAGAGGAATACATTAACTCACATGTGCTCAGGGTGTGCTAGCGATTAGATCACGTCAGCATTCTGGCTCATTCTTGAAGCAAAGTTTTGCCTGAATGGTGATTGGATTCACTGTTTTGGATCGCTGCATTTAAACTGAGAATGCAAGTACAGAATGCTTTTGGTGTATGATAGAGTAAACAGTAATAGCTCGTGCAGCGGCAGCCTCCCCCGGGTCCTAACGCCCGTTCAGTCAGGAGTTTTATTTCCGTAGGGGGCGCTGTTGGCCTACTTCAAATAAAATGAAAGCAAAATGCACAAATAATATTTAGACTGTGTTTCTGATTAAATAAAGCAGTAACTGGTGCCATAAAATCATGAGTATGTTTTGATTTAAAGGTCAGAATATACAAACCTTTATGAGCTCTAAAAGATTTTCACAATTTTTACAACTCTTTTGCTTTAGACCATTTACAAATGTTAAATCATAAAATAAAATGTTAAGGTTACCACTGTTACTTACTTTCTGGAAAAAAATGGAATGATTATTATATAGTTTATTTATAGTTATTATAAAATAACTATTATTTTTAAATTTAATTCTAACAAATAAGTTCTTGTTAAAAACTAACCAAAATTAAAAAATAATTATATATCGGCATCGGTTATCGGCCAAAATGAGTTGAAAATTATCGGCATATCGGATATCGGCAAAAATCCAGAGCCATGCATGGCCATGCCATGACACCACCTCCACCGTGCTTTACAGATGAGGCTGTATGCTTAGGATCATTTGCAGTTCCCTTTTTTCTCCACACTTTTGCTTTCCCATCACTTAGATAAAGGTTAATCTTTGTCTCATCGGTCCATAAAACTCTGTTCCAAATCTCTACTGGCTACATTTGTGCTTTTATGCAAACTTGCTGATCAGAGGTTTGCATCTTGCCGTGTAGCCTCTGTAATTCTGTGTGAAAGTCTCCTGCGGACAGTAAATTATCAGAGCATCACCCCAGATTTCTGGAGGTTGTTGGTGATTTTACAGACATGTACTTTTAGGGTTTATTTTCATAGCTTTTATGATTTGTCTTTCATCAACTACTGTTGTTTTTCTCAGCCGATCAGGTCGTTGTTGTTTGCTGATGTCGCTGGTGGTTTCCAAGCTCTTGATTTCTTCATGCCCTTTGTTTTTGCAATAGCTCTAATTGACTTCCTCTTTTCTTTAAGCATCCAAATTGCTTGCTTTTCTCTCGAAGTCAGCTCCCTCGTCTTCACCCTGGTTTGTGTGTGTCGTCATTGAATGCAAGACTTAGAATGCAGAAGCAATGGATATAACTAATACAACACATTCCCTGCTTTTAATACCTAAACAATTAATGCAACAGGACACCGCTGATCACTTAAGAGAGATCTGTGAGGCAACTGTCCCAATACTTGTGCTCACATCAGATAGGGGGATGAAACTCTAAAAGTGTTGATCTTGTTAGTTGGTAAAACATGTATGTGTTGAAACACCCAATAATAAAATGTGACAATTTGTAGTTGTGTCTCATATTCATCTTTTAGACATATTCACAGATTTATTGACTCCACAGCAAACAGAGCAATTTTTTCTTTACTGTTCCAATACTTATGGAGGGCACTGTATATATGTGCTTAAGTGGGTCAAAAGCACTCTAGAGTTCAGCTAAATGTATTTAATATTAGGGATGCATAATATTATCGGACAAATATCGGAATCGACCGATAATGGCTTTAAATGTAAATATCGGCATCGGCCCGATATTACAAATTATGCCGATACGTCTTGCCGATAAGAGGAATACATTAACTCACATGTGCTCAGGGTGTGCTAGCGATTAGATCACGTCAGCATTCTGGCTCATTCTTGAAGCAAAGTTTTGCCTGAATGGTGATTGGATTCACTGTTTTGGATCGCTGCATTTAAACTGAGAATGCAAGTACAGAATGCTTTTGGTGTATGATAGAGTAAACAGTAATAGCTCGTGCAGCGGCAGCCTCCCCCGGGTCCTAACGCCCGTTCAGTCAGGAGTTTTATTTCCGTAGGGGGCGCTGTTGGCCTACTTCAAATAAAATGAAAGCAAAATGCACAAATAATATTTAGACTGTGTTTCTGATTAAATAAAGCAGTAACTGGTGCCATAAAATCATGAGTATGTTTTGATTTAAAGGTCAGAATATACAAACCTTTATGAGCTCTAAAAGATTTTCACAATTTTTACAACTCTTTTGCTTTAGACCATTTACAAATGTTAAATCATAAAATAAAATGTTAAGGTTACCACTGTTACTTACTTTCTGGAAAAAAATGGAATGATTATTATATAGTTTATTTATAGTTATTATAAAATAACTATTATTTTTAAATTTAATTCTAACAAATAAGTTCTTGTTAAAAACTAACCAAAATTAAAAAATAATTATATATCGGCATCGGTTATCGGCCAAAATGAGTTGAAAATTATCGGCATATCGGATATCGGCAAAAATCCAATATCGTGCATCCCTAAACTATAATACATTATCATTCAATTATGATTAACATGTAATTAAACATGTCTGAAAACATTACATTCAGTTCATACTTAAGTATATTCTTTCAATAAAAGTTAATAGAAGTTTTTCTCAAGGGTAAATGGTGAATGACACATAGCCTACTATATACGAGCCAAGTAAATCCTAGCCTGAAATGACAGAGTGAAAAGAGCAAATGGTTTACCCCATCTCATGGAACAGGGCAATGGCACGAGGGCTGTCCAGGTTCTGCCACACGAGCACTTTTCTCATGGAGCCATTGAGATTAGCCACCTCAATGCGGTTCGTCCCCGTGTCCGTCCAGTAGATTTTTCTGCCCACTGAATCCACTGCCAGACCATCTGTGGTCACTAGACCTGAAAGAGTGGAGGAAACACTTTAAAAGACTGAAAAAGTTGAGTGACTGGAGAAAAGGAATACGATTACTGTAAGTAGTGTTGAGGTTAACAGTAGACTCCTTACCAGTTGAAATAATGTCCTCATATTGTGTACCATTGACATTGGCTCTGCTGATTTTCTTTAATGTACTGTCTGACCAGTACACTTTACCTGCAGGAGCAGTAAAATATTCATAATGATGTTCCCTAAATTAACATTATAAGTGAAAGCGTCTATACATTGAGAATTTCCTCACACCTTCTACTGCATCCACTCCAATGGCAATGGTGTTCTTCATAGACACACTGACCGGCAGAACCACATCAGCGAAGTACGGGATGTCCAAAGAAATCATCCTGATGTCTGTCCGCCGGGCAAAGATCAGGAAGCTGTTCATTGCTGTGAGAGAGAAGGATTTCTAAAGGAACATTTCACTCAAAAATTAACATCCGTCATAAACAGCATCAATAACGTTTTCATGCAACGTTTGTGAATTAAGCTTCTGCAAAGAAAATTGGAATTTTGCATAAAACATTTGCAAATAAAGCACAGCTTCCATCCCATGTGATAAAGAGAACAAAATCGTCACTTTCTGGGAAAATGCAGCAAAATATCAGCAATACAAAAATAAAGCTGATGTAAGCCTGTGAATTCTTTTTTTCTACACAAAAACAAATGCTGTCATGTTATCTTGCATTTGGATGCCTGATGTTTGGGGGAACAACCTTGTGAGAATAATTTCACTATTTTAGAAGGATTAAAGCAATATTTTAGATGCTGTGCAATGAGATTCATCGCATGGGTAGTACCATTATCCAATTACATGATCTAATGAGGCAAAGTCGCGTGAATTTTTTGCTGTGCATTGAGGAATTTATTCAGTAAATGCGTTTCCATTTACCTTTTTCTTTTACTATTTGAATTCCATTTTAAGACTTCCATCCAGCATTTTTTAATGCAATATCCCAAAACTCACACAAAAATGCATGGATGGAAACACAGGCACTGACTTTCCCTCATAATGTTCCAAACCCATATTATATTCTTTATTCTGTGAAACACAAAGGGTGTGTCTTTTTTCCACTCAACAAAAGTGGAAGCTCCAAAAAGGACAATACACCAGTACACTTCATGCATTTTCACTCAGTGGACAGCTATCCATTCAAGAAAAGACAGAACGTAAAAGGCTTTCCGAGATGCATTCTAGACAGACTGCAACCCGATCACCCAAACCTCTTTAGGAAATGGTTTGACATGCATTTCAGACATGACTTGGTCAAGTGTAAACACATCTGGTTGTTCAGGCTGCATACGTAAGCTTTAAACTACCTCACCATACAGATGTATGATTCACACGCTACATCACATTTTGGCATTAACCTGGATGACCACAATGTTCCTTCCGCCCAACTCTCGTCTGCAAACCACAGCTCCAAACGTTCCTCATACGGCTTGGGTTCCCTCTCTTCACACAAACCCAAACGCTGAAACTTCCCTTTCTCAGAGCAAACTAACTCAGTGAAGAGACAATGTTACAGGCAGAGGTCATTTGCACTAAGTGAAAATAGTAGTTAGTTTTGAGCATGGTAACAATATAAGCTACACACGTTGCAGGCGATGTACCAGTGCGTCCAATCAACGTACAGACACCACATCTAATTTCAGCTTTAATATGGAAGCCCATTTCCACCGCGCAAGAAACAAAGCATGCTTTGCTAAGACTTTAAAAGTCATAATTAAGAGAAGTCAAACTTTTGACTATCATAATTATGTCACAGATGAAGTTATGCCATAAAAAGTCAAAGTTCTGACATACGAAGTCAAAATTCTGAAATAAAAAGGCAAAAAATACTATTTATATCAATTTTTATTTTTAATCTCATAATTATAACTTCGTGTCAGAACTTCAACTTAGTATGTCAATTTCGACTTAAATTTCACATTTAATTATGACATAATTAGTATCTCAATTTCAACTATCTCATAATGATTTAATATGTTATAATTTTGAGATAAAAAGTCAAAATTATGACATACTAAATTGAAACAACTGTTAAAATATTTACATATTAAGACAAATTATGAGATAAAAGTCCTAATTATGAGATAAAAAGTCAAAATTCTGAAATACTAAGTCGAAATTGAGATAAAAGACTGCGTATATCCATTTAGATTTTTTTTTTTTCATAATTAGAACACCATCATAATTTAAACTTTTTATTTATTAATTATGCCTTAATGTCACAATTTTGACTTAAAGCATAATTGTTTTTCTTTTCGTCTCCGTCACTCCTGTTCCATGTTAGGTCTGTTTACGTCAGAGTGCACACGTATCTTTTACGCATTACAACATGCAGTGTTGTTAAATTTAAACCTGTTGATGAAAACGATGCGTTCTAAAAGTCGAAACAATTCATAACAAGGTATATAGAATTATTCACAGTATTTTAAAGTACCCTGATAACAAAGCTACGCATTATATCATATTACCGAACACCAGCACTTTTACTCTCCACGCCACTGTCCCAGTTTACCTCATGGTTTCAGGCTACTGTAAATAGCCTTTGTCAATCAGATAGCTATTAGCACCATCAAAACGCATTAAGTGGCCAAGACTAAATATCCCCTGAGGGCCAGAGATTCCCACCCCTGTGCAATTAAGTGCGCAAAAAGAGACAAATCCCCTACTGAATTGTACGTGAAAGTGAACCGAATGGTTTCTCACCTTCAGAAATGCCCCATGACATCACCACTGACACATCATAACGGCGACCCCTAAACCCCTGAGGCGACTCAAAATGAGTCTCAAATTTCAAAGACTGCCCTTGCAACAAAAACCACGGACTGAAATGTCACCTGGAATCCCAAAAGCAAAGAACACCTGCGGCCATTTCATTAAATTTCAAGTCAATTGTGGAGTTATGGCTACTGAATGAGAAGTTATTGCTGGTTTCTTAGATATTCGAGACGGATAGAGTAGCATGGACTTATCGGCATTACCGTGAGTGCAAGTCTTGCCGTCCGCCTGTAGGTTGATACCAGTGGGACACGCACAGCTTGAGGCTTTGGGAGCAGGAGCCAGGAGGCAAAGGTGACTGCAGCCGCCATTATTCACCGAACAGGGCGTCTGGACTTTAGACAGAAAGCAGAAAGAGTGGAGACAGGTGAGAGAGAGAAGGGGCTAGAAATGGCCGCTCAATCAGATAACAGGCCTCTGGGTGTCTCGGTGGATCATTATACACCAATGAGACTCCAGACTGAAGATCAGTTACCGCTGGCCTTAATCCGCCGTCTGAAACCCAAGACATCGAATACGACAGAGACCCACATTCCTCTTTAACACATATCTGCTAGGCATGCGTGTGAATTTCAGTTGTCAACAGGAGAAAGAAGACGAAGAGGGCTGCTAACTGCTAACTTGAAAATGAATTATATGTTTAAATTATTTCATTCATTTTTATTGCATACTTGTAAGGCATTTTACCTCATTTGATGTGCTGAGTGTACAACAAAAACGTATTTACGCCCTTAAAAACAAAGGTCCTGCATTGGCATCAATGGTTCCATGAAGAACCTTTAACATACATGGAAACTTTTAATTGTACAAAAGGTTCTTTATAGTGGAAAACGGTTCTTTAGATTATTAAAATGTTCTTTGCACTAATAAAAAATGGTTCTTTTAAGAGTGGTTTACTGAAAGGTTCTTTGGGGAACCCAAAAAGTTCTTCTATTGTATTTTTGCGTGTGTGTGTGTATTTCATAATTATTTATATTGTCTTTGAAATAGGGTTAAAGTACTGCTGAGTGTACCGACAAGCATTTACGGTAAATTAAAATATACTTTAATGCCATTTCTATTGAAATTTGTATGTCATGCAATTATTTGTAATTGCACATTTGTACTCATGAAGTTGCAATTCAGTACATTTAAAATATACTTACTGTAGATATAGAATAACACACTAAAGTTAAAATTATAATTAAGTACTTTACATGTGCTTTAGTATGTCAGTTAGTCAACACATAAAAATAAGTGCACTTTAAAGCATGACAAAAGATCATTAAAACAATGATTTAAAATGCACTTTAAAGTAAAACTTAATTTGACATTATTACAAAGTGCATTTTTTAAAAGTGTACTTAAGTGTTAAGAAACAGTCACGAAAGAGTCTCTCTTCAAGTCACTTAAGTGGCCTTTTATTTTACAGATTATATCTGCACTTGTTGTTGTTTTCAAGTGAACTCATTATAAAGCACCCAGGATGCACCGCAGCAAATAGTGGCTACACTGACAAACTTTTGACTGTATTGTATATTGCATTTGCTACCAGTATCATTAATACACAATAGAGATAGTCTCCGGTGATGTTTTACCGGTAGTTCTGTGATGGTGGAACATGTGAATGTCCATGAGGTTTTCAAGGTTTTCTGCCAGCGTTCTTCGGTCCAAACCAGTGAGCTTATCTGCACTTTGGATGCTCTTGGATTGCCAGTCAGTCCAATAAATTCTGTCTTCGTGGAGCGTCAACCCAAACGGATGAGGCAACTGACTGCCAATCAACACCTTCAATGGATAAGAATGAATAAAAGTTTTACCTTAGAAGGAATGAACTGCAAATCAGTTTAACTAAAGAACCCATGTCTACCTGTCTGCCTGATCCATCGAAGTTGCCATACTCAATGGTCTTAATGCTAGCATCAGCCCAGTACAGCCGCTCAGTGCTATAGTCTATTGCCAATCCATTAGGCCAGGTCAGGTTTGTTGAGATGATAACCGTACGGTTGGATGCGTCCATTCCAGCACGCTCAATCTTAGGATTGGCACCCCAGTCTGTCCAGTACATGAATCTATTGTGAAACAAAAGCGGCTATGTATCATTTCTTTATATTGTGTAAACCTCAACAGCTACTACTACTTGTAATACTGTCAACTAGTCTATAAAGCATCCTCCATTTATATTGGCACCTTTGATAAAAAGGCTAAGTTTTTAACTTTTTTTTAAGTCTGAAAAGGAATAGTTCATCTCAAAAATGAAAATTGAAAATGAAAATTCCATCATCATTTTCTCATCCTGTATGAGTTTCTTATGTTGAACACAAAAGAAGATATTTTGAAGAATGCTGGTCATCAAACAGTTGATGGTCCCCATTGACTTCCATAGCATTTCTTTCCCTACTACAGTAGACAATGGGGACTGTTTGCTTCTTCAAAATATCTTCTTTTGTGTTCAACATAAGAAAGAAACTTACATGAGGGTGAGTAAATGACCATTTTCATTTTTGAGGTGAACTATTCCTTTAAGTATCATTCAAAATTTTCACAAAAATCTAACCTTTAATTGACGTAAATTATATAAAATTACAAAAACGTGTGTCACTATCATTGCAACCTAATTTTTATTGTACATTTTTAAAATTTTTAGATCATTCCTGTAGCTCAAAAAGTAGGTCATGGGTTCGAATCCCAGAGCAAAGCAAGAACTGATAAAATGCAAACCTTAAATGCAATGCAAGTCGCTTGGGAAAAATCAGCTAAATGCATAAACGCAGACATGAGGGTGAGTAAATGACCATTTTCATTTTTGAGGTGAACTATTCCTTTAAGTATCATTCAAAATTTTCACAAAAATCTAACCTTTAATTGACGTAAATTATATAAAATTACAAAAACGTGTCACTATCATTGCAACCTAATTTTTATTGTACATTTTTAAAATTTTTAGATCATTCCTGTAGCTCAAAAAGTAGGTCATGGGTTCGAATCCCAGAGCAAAGCAAGAACTGATAAAATGCAAACCTTAAATGCAATGCAAGTCGCTTGGGAAGAATCAGCTAAATGCATAAACGCAATTTTTTTTTTTGGTCAAAAAAACAAAAACTTCTGCCCGGTTAACACTCAATAGGTAAAAAAACAAAAAAAACATGACTTGCTGATTCACTGGGATATAAAACTGAGGTCATGAACAGGCCAAATTCCTATACTTATTAATAACTATAGGAAGGACCCAATAAAGTAATGATGTGTGACAAAAGACTGTTGACTCACACACATCAGGAATTAGCTCTGTTGTTGAAAAAGCCCATTTCCATTATTAAAAAGACTGTTTGATGGTCAGACGGGCACACATATATAAGTCATATATAACCATCTGCATTCGTGGAGGACACTGTATAACATTGCATATTGAACCGTACTTGACCTACCCTCCGATCGGGTCAACAACAATGTCCCGGGGACGGTCGAGGTTCTCCCAGATCAGAACTGTGCGCATGCTTCCATCCGTGTTTGAAACTTCAATCCGATCTGTGCCTAAAAGAGTTACGAAAACAAGTCTTTTCTCTGCAGCATATGCCTGTCACTGCTCTTCTAGCATGTCACTGAGAGTATAGTTGCACTAATAGCATCTACATTCAATGAAATTAGAAGAAAATGGAGTGAGAAGAGGCAAGGGAGAACTAAAAAAAATTTAAAAGTATTTGTCTTGTAGTGTGTGTTTGATCTTAAATGGACTTAAACAATAGAAATTATTACATGAAAAGAGGCATACAGCGTAGATCTGATGCTAGGATGTGAAAGATGAATTAATAACAGAACAGTACCTGCATCAGTCCAGTACAGTTTGTGTGTAAGCCAATCGATAGCTAGACCTGCAGGGCTTTCCAAACTGGTGTCCACCACAACCTGCAAGCGACATGAATATCATCTGTCAGATTACATGACAACCACCTACTACACAAGAGAGGATTTGTTTGTTTTTGCTAGTTTGTTCTCCAGGGGTCAGTGGTGTATTAATAATTCATACACTAGACACCCAACAGCAGTGGCATGAAAAGATCTAATCAAAGGCAAAAATGTCTTTGATTATTCATTTATCATATACATTCACTCCATTCTGTTCCATTTTATATTCTATATTTTATTGATATGTTTATTTATTAAGGTGACTACATAATCTCACAAGTCTCTAATGCTTAATTAAAAATAAAGTACAAACAGTAATATCGGGAAATATTATTAAAATCAAGCATAACTGTTTCTATTTGAAAACATTTTAAAATGCAATTTATTCCTGTGTATTTTCAGCATCATTACTCCAGTCTTCAGTGTCACATGATCTTCAGAAATCAGTATAATTTGCTGCTCAAGAAACATTCCTGATTATTATCAGTGTTGAAAACAGTTGTGCTGCACAATATTTTTGTGGAAACTGTGATACATTACCTAAAAGTTTGGGATAAGTGTGATAAAAATAGAAAGAAATTAATACTTTTATT